TTGGCCTTTAGGAGTGTTTTCCCATCCAGTCTGTTGGGGCACCATGACCGGACCCCAAAGTCTGCCTTCAGCATTCCATGGGGACCTTGATGCTCCATTCCCTTGCTGTTCTGCTGTATTCCCCTCGTGCTTTGCCTTGGTGTGGCAGGATCAGATCTGGTGCAATTCTCTGATACTGTCCTCCGCAGGGCCATGGTTCTGTGATGGGCATCATGTCTCAAAGTGGGGCTGGTCATTTCTATTCCATGTTCTCTTCTGAATCCAATATTCAGTCATTTCAAGAATTAGCATGTGATCAAGAACCAATGATACTAAAGGAAAAAAAGTTCAATCTGACTGTGACATATTAATATTTGTACCTATTCAAAATCAAAGTTACCCAACAGAATGTACAGCTTAGAAACAATACATTTTATATCGCATGCAAGTAAAATTTTGCTGAAGATCATTCAACAATGGTTGTGGAAGTATACTGGCAGAGAGAAGGGGATGTAGCATAGAGGATATCATTGGGTATGTCAGATGGATCTTGGCTGAATGCAGAGAATACCAGAAGATATTTCCTGGTGTTTTATTAATTATGTGGGCTGTTGACTAGTCTTGAGCAGAATAGGAATTCAAAAATTTCAATGTGCTCATTCAGAAACTGTACATGAGCCAAGAGCCTGTCTTGAGTATAAGTACACAAAGCAATCTTTAAAAATCAGTTTTACTGATGTACAGCATTTTAGAGAGAACACGGAAGGTCAAGGAAAATTGTCACACATTCATAATATGTAGTGAATCGAAACATCAGTGATATCAGTGGGGCTATTAGAGTGTGAATGTGGCCATTAATTGAATTGGTACCTTTTAGTAGACAGAGGAGCTTAGAAAATTAGTCCAAAGACCTCCTCAAGGAAGTCAGGGCATGACTCATGTCTATGCAACTGTTTGGGAAGTGAACTCCATCAATGGCACACCCATGAAAAAGCTCAAGGGAGACTGCCCTTTTTATTAGGCTTATCATATCGGTGGAAGCAATGCCCTTTGCTTGTTTGAGGGTAAGATAATTCAGATCCCTGATCAATCTGCAGAGAACATTCAATAGAGGCTTTATCCATATGGGGACTTTTCTGATAGATTTTTCGACTTCATACACAGCCTTCTGCTAACAGGGTATTCAGTATTTTTGCTCTAGTATATTTCTCTCTTATGATCATGGACTTAAATATTTACAATCTTTTAATCACACAGACTAGTATGCTTCTTCTATGTGGACATAGATAACACCTCATTTAAATGGCTACTATTTTAAGACAAGATTTCAAAATCCTAGACACAATTCTTTCTGATAGAAAGGAACCATTTATATTTTGCTTTATAATAGAAAAAATGAGAACATTTAAAGTAATTACTGTTACATAATTTGATGAAAACACACTATTAAATTATTAATATTATAGAGCATCATGAAATAACACTGGTTAAGTAATGCCTAACATATAATAAATGGACTCATATAACTGTGGGGTGGGGGAATCACAATTGAAGCAATGGATACAAAAAAGCATTATTAATCCAAAAGAGGATCAACTAAATCAAAGTTCATGTCAATATTTTTACTTTGCCTGAGGC